GCTCTTAGGTTGGAGGCCATTGCTCTCAGGTTGGAGGCCATTGCTCTAAGGTTGGAGGCTCTCAGGTTGGAGACCATTGCTCTTAGGTTGGAGGCCATTGCTCTTAGGTTGGAGACCATTGCTCTTAGGTTGGAGGCCATTGCTCTCAGGTTGGATGCCATTGCTCTCAGGTTGGATGCCATTGCTCTTAGGTTGGAGGCCATTGCTCTTAGGTTGGAGGCCATTGCTCTTAGGTTGGAGGCCATTGCTCTCAGGTTGGAGGCCATTGCTCCCGAGGTTGGAGGCCATTGCTCTTAGTTTGGAGGCCATTGCTCTTAGGTTGGAGGCCATTGCTCTCAGGTTGGAGGCCATTTGGAGGCCATTTCTCTTAGGTTGGAGGCCATTGCTCTCAGGTTGGAGGCCATTGCTCTTAGGTTGGAGGCCATTGCTCTTAGGTTGGAGGCCATTGCTCTTAGGTTGGAGGCCATTGCTCTCAGGTTGGAGGCCATTCGGAATACTTGGGCTTCACCACAGGCCCTGCACTGACAACGCTCTCATTCCTGCCACAGGCACTGATGCACCGTAGAGATGGTCTGCAGGAGCCATGGGAGCTTCAGGCAAGTTGCCCTTTCAAGCGACAGGACCAATGGTTACAACAAGAAGGCCTTGCTCCTAGTAGTAAGGCCAGGAGCTCCTAGTAGCGTCCTTGCTCCTAGTAGGAGCCCCTAGTAGCGTCCTTGCGCCTAGTTTCCTTCTCAATTTATATAAACATGCTAAAAATGTTCTTCACATGCCTTGCAACATCAGATCCGTAGCGTGGAACAGGAACAGGTGAAGCCATTGTTCAGTGAACCCGCGAGAATGAAGGGCTTGGGGACGCTTGTGCGCGGGTCCGACACGAGCCTTGGCAGGTAACAGAAACTTCACTTCTTTCACATCTTTTGCTTCTGCACTGTTTCCAGCATCTGTGGCTTTTGCTTCGATTGGTTCGCCCACTTCTGCTTCTGCCTTTGGTACTTCAGCAGCAGGAGCAGCCTGCATGTTCAGTACTGTGCAAAATCGCACTTCACATGGATTCCAATCTAGGCTTTCTTGGACAAGAATCGCTTGAATGGCAAGAAGAAAGTGATTTTCTCAAAGATTGCTCACGGGCGCCTGCAACTGCAACACAAGCAAAAGTGCAATATAAATTATCATATTACTCCACTTAATATCTCCTGCTTTCTCTCTAGGCATCAATAAAACAGGGTTCTTCACTTGCCTCAGCGACTTTCGCTTCCACTTCGTTCGCTACAGCATCTTTTGCTTCTG